CCATTTTTCAAGACAAATGTGCCGTGTAGTTTTCTGTCATGCTGCAGTATATCGAACTAATGAATGAGCTGGCTCACTCGGAATCCTCTGAGTGCTGAATCCTAACCCACGCATTATAACCCACGCTACAGCCAGTCCGGCACCGTGTCTGGACTTCACATACATACGTGGTTCAAAAAGATCAGTGATGGATTTTCATTTCATGGCAAACACACGGCTATGAAATATTTACCAACTCGGTCCATTTCCCAGCAGCAGTGGTTCCTGCTAGCGGGTGTGTTCTTTCAAACCTAATTGACAGATTTTGCAGGTAGGGAGCCCTTAAGTTTAGGGCCCAAAAATGTGGCTTGTGGCACCACATGTCACAGCGGTAATACAGTACATGCAGAGGCTTCTTTATGGCCAGTTAATGAAAAATCCCCCTCTGGCGTCTTAGCTGAAGCAGTTAACCACATACTGCGCTGCAGCCTATTCTGCATCCTTGGTAATGGTCACCCACTGGGATAGATATTAAAGAGTCTAATCAGGAAACAATCACGATTATGTGAAGGGAGTAAAAGAGGAATAAAGGCACGACTTTATTCCTTTATCATAAAGTACGCCTTTATGATCTGTTTTATGTTCAGGGGTTTATGTCTTTGGTCTTGAGCAGAAGAGGTTGACATAATGTTGGAGAATGTGTGCACACTTCATTTGGTTTGGTAATCCAATATGTAAAAGACTTTAAAATATTTATAACTTCCTTTTTACTTTCTCCTCAATTTGCTGCTAATTTACCCAGTTGTTTTTGTTTTCTGGGACAATAGCCACAATAGTCTTTTCAGCATATATTGCTCACTTTTTATAAATGCCATAAAAACAAAACAAAAAAAAAAAACAACAAAAAAATGCTTTATCTTGCTAATGCACTCTAACCACTATTTATCCAGAGCCTGGAACTGTTGGAGATTTCTTGTTGAGGAGAGTTTTTTTCTCCCCACCGTTGAAAGGCCTTTACTCAGCGTGTGATTTAATTTGGTTTCCAATATTATTTGTAAAACATAGTCTACTTTACTTCATACTGTTAATATAAACTCAAATTATATCCATCGTATATACAGCATGTTCTTTCGTTTCCCTATAAAAAGAGCTTTTTAGGAGGATTAAAACTGTGAAGTCAATTGCAGCAATTGTGTGTTGTCAACTTTGTCTGTGAAAATGAAATAGTTTTGATTTGACCAAGAAAGAACAGACCATCTGTTCTTTCTTGGTCTTTCATGTTCACATTCTATTTTAGTTTAAATGGACTTTTGAAATTGTAACTGATAAAACTCTAAAAGTTATAAAAATAATAATAAGTGTTGTCAAAACTCTCTACCTGTGGTTGTCTCTATCTACTATTATTATAATAAATGAGAGCTGTCAGGTGGTTACCATTCCTAATCTGATAAATCACAGGTTGGCTGAGGAGTAATCAGGATTTATAATAATTAATCAAATCTTGATTTATTCCTCCTCTTAAAAAAGTTTTGTGTACATTGGTGCAACAGAAAGACTTTCTCGCAGTGTATAAATGACAACATATGCTTTAATGCAGTAATAAATGGATGGATGGTGGAATTACTGGATATACAATGTCAGTCAATCTAAGTGTCAGTCAAAATGTGTTAAGGTTAATTATTATTAGGTTAATCAGGTTATTTACACATTATTTAATAAGTTTACCTCATATAACCCCCATTATTACAATATACACACAATTTATGTTTATTGAAGTGATGTTATACCTTCCTCCTTTTGAAACAAAGACGCTTGAACCCAGATACACACTTTGATAATGACCTCTGTGTTACTGTGGTTATAACATTCCCTCAGGCAGCAATGGCAGAGAACAACTGAGGGATTTAATTTAGGCCAATGTTTTGCCCCGAGGCAGAGGGATTTCTGTCTTTTTTATAGATCAGTCAAACAACAGGGCATTTTTTCTTTCTGTCACTTTTTACTAATATCTTCCTGACTTGTCATCACTGTCGGTTTTGTTCTGCTGCCAATGACATTGGGATTAATATAGAGTTGGATGAATGGTTGGTTAACAGCAGAGGTGAGTAGAGTAGCCAAAAATTGTACTTGAGTAAAAGTACTGTTACTTCAGAATAATATTACTTAAGTGAAAGTAAAAAGTAGTCATCCAAATAATTACTTGAGTAAGAGTAAAAAAGTACGTGGTGAAAAAACTACTCAAGTACTGAGTAACTGTTGAGTAACATTTCTTTTTTAGATTTATTTTTTAACGTGTATTCAATCAGATAAACACAATTACAGAGGAGAGTTTATCCCATCAACAAAATAATAAAACAAAACAAATTAATTAAGTACCTTAAAATAAAATCTTTAGGTAAGTTAAAGTACTTAAATGAAAAATAAAAATCAATGAAATAAAAAGAGTACATAAAGAATTAAATATTTACAAAATAAATTACAGCACAGCACAACAAAAACTTCCAAACCTCTGGACCTGTGGATAAAAACACGTCTTTGAGGCTACAAGCAAATCGAGTTCAGCACAGAGTACTCATGTAACCGAACAGGACAAACATTTCGCCAATCCACAGCAAAAAGAAAAAAAAAAGATTTGTAGGTCAAACTTACTGCAACATGTTTCTTCAGCTTATACGATGAGCTTTTGAAAGCTGAAATATCTGTCTGTTTGGGCCGACACAGAAGACACCACATGATGAAACTGCTGTTTCGCACTGTTTGTAACGGAAACGTACTTTCAATTTGAGGCCAGGTGTGTGCCTCCTTGTCTTTGTCAGCATTGACTGACTGTTGATTCTGCCATTTTTTTTTTTTT